TGCAGCATTCACTCATCGTAAAATATTGTAGACTGCAGATTTTTTCATTGCAATACAGTTTAATAACGTAATAGTAGATTATCAGTGGTCAACTTTCAATGGAGAAGCGATGCACAAGGCAATTATGTAACACCGTGTTAAGAATTTGATAAGAGCATGATGCATTTCATGAAAGATTCTCGCAGAACATTTACTCAAGTCGGAGTCTTTAGGTCAAGAAATGTTACGTTCTCAGTTATTCTCAGTTTCCAAATATTTCAGTCATCCGAAGGAAATCTCTTCCAAATTGCGCTTATCTACAGTGAAAGTGGTACTTTTGCGCACGTTGTCTACAGTAAACTCATCTCAAATAACGATGCTATTGTACGTTCTCTTTGTTTTTGCTATCAGCGATAACCAATGTTTCCTATTGCAGTCGGAGGGCAATTTTTTGTGTAAAATATTGCTTCTTTCTATAAATTAAACCAAATTACCCAACGAAAACCATATTATGATGAGAGAATGGATAATATTTCTGACATCCTCGAGAATCCAACAGATGTGCTCGTTCACATGTGCTAAAAGATTAAACCCCAACAAATTAGGAAAGAAAAAAAAATTTTCAGGCCGGTTTCAGTGGTCAGGACGATCATTATTCGTTGCCTGAATCAGGAACGCATGATGCCATTCAGTTAGCCGAGAAGAGTGATATTGGTATTCCGGGAGAGTTCGTTTTCCGGATTGATGCTGATCGTGTGTTTTTGTGTGGCGCTGGCTTTAAGGTTCGAGAAAACGAACATTCATTTCATCGCTTTCCACTTTTTAAATCAACACATCGTCTTGGTGTTTTACTTGAAGTTCTTCATTTTCAAATTATTCTCATTGTTAGCATCTGATCAGATTCATTATATCCAATGATACGTTTCATAGTGCAATCATTCATTCTGAACTAGAGACCATTCTCCACACGAGATCGTAGCAAAAAGCGGAGAAGATCTTAGAGTTCAGGTCGATTGAACATAACATATATAGTGCTCATAGTCAGTGCTAGTACGATCACATATTTAGAACAAAATGAATCTTTGATATGGAGATATATGGAATATCAGCTCGACATGTATACTTATCCTAAACTGGAAGTCTCTGTAAAAGATTAATGTGAGAGCTCTTAAGTCGTTGAGATGTACTTGATTCAAGTATGACATACCAGTGGTTCTCATTTGGGGTGTTTCACCCCCTGGCAAGGAATTTGGGAACGTCATAGAGGGGGGGATCGTAAATTAATATTTTGTGCAGTTGTTATGCTGTGATCGAATGCCGGTATGATGGTGTTTTTTTACTTGGGTATTTAAACGCGGTTTGCTTATGGCAACATTCTTCTTTATCTCATTTTATCAATATCTACAGTTCATCTAACAATAAGTGTGAGCAAAAGTCCATTTGAAGTAGTACAAGTCTTTTGTAAGTTCTTTAATATATTGGCTGTCGTGAGCATTAGCACTTGATTGAGTTCATTGACTTGACACAAATAACATCGGTTTAGTATGAGAAGAGCAAGTATTTTTGAATTCATCCGCACTTATTATTCGATTGCAGTGAAAATTTTTGGAGCTTTTTAATCACTTCATATAATGGGATTTACGGTTCGTAAATGAATTTTTTGAACCAAGTAACTGCGCAATTATGTCAAGGGTATCTGGTTTGTTTGCTGAAATTGATATGATCCTATAGATCGAAGTTTGATATTCATATAAAGCTTCATTTCACTGAAAAAGATTTTTCGTCCGGTCACTTATGGGTTTTCCTCAAACTAGAAGC